TGACAACCAAAACCAGCTGATCACATGGTCAAGAAGGACCATCAGCCTAACAATGGATCATTAGCACACTGATGGCTGTTTACTATTCACAGGGGCTGAGTGATACTAGCAATCACAGCATTGTAAGAATGGGACAGTTGAACCCGGAGGCCTCCACCCCTGTTTAATGATGGACGATTTCTTTTCACAAAGATGGCCTCCTTTACTCCTCTCTCAAACCATCGTTCCTCTCTGTCCAGGATGTGAACATCTTCATCCTTGAAAGAGTGACCGCTGGCCTGGAGATGAGTGTAGACCGCAGAATCCTGGCCTGATGATGTTGATCTTCTGTGCTGGGCCATCCTTTTGGCCAGTGGCTGTTTTGTTTCCCCGATGTAAGACTGATCACAGCCCTCCTGACACTGAACAGCATACACAATATTACTCTGTTTGTGCCGGGGGACTGGATCTTTGGGATGAGCCAGTCTTTGTCGTAATGTATTTTGGGGTTTAAAAGCCACTGGGACATTATGTTTAGAAAATAAACGTCTCAGTTTCTCTGATACTCCCTCAACATATGGAATGACCACTGGTCTGGGTCTGGGTTCCTCCTTTTCACCTGTTGGCTGACTGGAGTCCTGTTTGGGTTTCTTCTCTGCTTTCAGGAAGGCCCAGTTAGGATATCCACATTGCTCTAGAGCCTGTCTTGTGTAGGATTTCTCCTTCTGCCTGGCTCCTGAGTTAGTGGGGATGCTGTCTGCTCTGTGATACAGAGTCCTGATGACTCCTAACTTGTGCTTCAAATGGTGATGGGAGTCAAACTGCAAATACTGGTCTGTGTGGGTGGGTTTGTAGTACACCTCGGTTTGCAAAAGTCCTCTATCAGAGACTGAGACCTCACAGTCCAAGAAAGCCAAACTGCCATTTTTTACATCTTATCGTGTGAACTTGATGTATTTATCCACAGAGGTGATGTGGTCAGTAAAATGTTGGACTTCCTGAGATTTAATTTTAACCCAGGTGTCGTCAACATACCTGAACCAATGACTTGGTGGTGTCCCTAAAAAGAACATCAAGGCTCTCTTTTCTACCTTCTCCATGTACAGGTTGGTAACAATAGGAGAAACTGGAGACCCCATAGCACACCCATGTTTCTGCCTATAATATTGCTCCCCATATGTGAAGTAGGTTGACTGGAGGCACAGTTTCAAAAGTTGACCCAGTTGTTCTGTGTAAAGCATGGTCCTGCTGCTCAGAGTGGTTTCTGATTTTAATCTTAAACTGACCACATCTACTGCATCCTCAACAGAAATGCACGTAAAGAGTGATGTGACATCAAAAGAGACCATTGTTTCATCAGTCTCCGTGATGATATCCCTCACCTTATCCACCAAGTCCATGGTGTTCTGTATGTGGTGTTCTGAGCTGCCAACAAAAGGGATGAGTACAGACGCCAGATACTTGGAAACATTGTAAGTGACAGAGTTAATCATGCTAACAATAGGTCTTAATGGTACACCTTGTTTGTGGATTTTAGGTAAACCATACAGACTAGGTGTGGCCTCCCCTGGGTACAGTCTGTGGTACAGAATATGGTCAATAGCCTTGTCCTGCGCCAAATTTTTCAGGCAATCTATTAACTTCTTGTAACCACTTCCTGGATCTCTTTTCAGAGGTTCATAAGTGGTTAAGTCACTAAGGAGTATCATAACTTTCTCATGATAGTCTTTCTGATTCAAAATCACTGTGCACCTTCCTTTGTCTGCTGGGAGAATGATGATGTTTTTGTCCTTGCTAAGAGTGGTGAGTGCATCCCTCTCCTCTTTACTGATGTTGGAAGGTGGTGGTTTGGCATTGCTGAGGCAGGATGAAACTTTGATTCTGAGCTTGTTCTGCTTCACCCTCTTTCATTTTGTTGTTGCGGATGGCTGATTCTGTGGCTGTGATCAACTGTCCCCCTCTTACAATGCTGTGATTGCTAGTATCACTCAACCCCCTGTGAATAGTAAACAGCCATCAGTGTCCTAATGATCCATTGTTAGGCTGATGGTCCTTCTTGACCATGTGAGCAGCTGGTTTTGGTTGTCAGCAGCAAACTGGTTGATCCACTCTGAGAAGGTGCTATTTAAGGGACTGAGCTGAATACAGCACCTCAGACTGAGGAAGTCTCTCGGATGAGAGAAGAAACGTTTCTACATTATTTTTTTTTTGCTTTGTTTCGTTTTTTTTGTCTTTTTTGTTTTTTTGTTTTTAGAATGTCCAGAGGACCAGATTGAACTTTTTTGGATTTTTCTACCTGGGTTATTGAGCGTGTATCAGGATACATGGAGGAGGAGCTGGTCAATGACCTGAGGAGAGCTGGCACCACTGTTTCCAAGGTTACTGTAGGTAATCCTTGAATCTAATCTTTAAATCACTTCTTGGTCTGTTGCCTTCATACATCTCCTCCTACATGTCTCTGCGTGAGTGCAGCTACGGAGTGCGCTCTCAGGACATTATTACCTGCAGTGTTCCCTCAATGAGGACTGAACTAGGCAAAAGGGCCTTCTCCTATTCCGCTCCTGTTTCCTGGAATATCTTACAAAAAGATTTGAAGCTCTCGACCTTGACCTCTCTAAGTGTCTTTAAGAATCTGTTGGACACCTGGCAGGGTCCAATGCTGACATGTTCCTGTTGTTAGTTTTCTACATTTGTCTTGGAATCTAGCTGTTTTTTTGTTTTGTTACCTTTTCCTTTTAGCCATCCTATTTGTTAAAAAAACAAAACTGTAGTATGCTTTTTTTTTATAACTGTTTATTGTTGTTGCTGCTGTCCATTGTTGTCATCTTTCTTTGTTGAAATCAGGTCTCTCTTGTAAATGAGTCCTCGAGGCTCAATGGGATTTACCTGTATAAATAAAGGTTGATTGAATCCACTAAGACGTCATAGTTTAAAATATGCATGGCACGGAAGTTTCCTCTGCTTATGTATATATGTGTATGTATGTATATATATATATATGTATATATGTGTATGTATGTATATATATATGTATGTATATATGT